CCAGTTGCCTAGACGGGTTTTGGGTCCCCACTCCGTACTCCCCCTCATTCACACTGATATGATTTTTTTTGTTCTTTGATGCCTGATACCTGATCCTATTGACACCTAGTGATCACACAAGCTGGTGTGCTTCTTTCATGTGGGCTTCGTTGCTTCTCAGTTAGACAGCCACTTGTTTATCTTCAAGCCTTTAAGACCCCACCTATCTTTTGATAGGTGGACACCATCAGCTTTCTTCACATTTGCTTATGCACCCGCTTTGTCTTCAGCGATTATGTCGAGAAGGTGAGCATCATGGAATGCCAGTTAATTTAATAGAGCAAAGTGTTCTTGCATTGAAGGAGCAATTGAGTAGAGGCCCAATGTTGAGACTGATTTTTAATGAAACTTACTTTCATGCCATTGAAGGTCTCCATTTTAAAATAAAGATTCAACTGTCCTAAAAAGCTCATAGATTTTTCTGATTGGAAAAATGTTTTAAAATTTCTACCTTCATAAACCCAGTCAGTTATTCCATTAAATATTGCATTTTCTTTTCCAGACCATGTGATCCTCTCACTTGGTACATGTGGTTCATTTTTAACATAAATATCATTGTTCCAAACATAGGCCTAGAAAGATGGGGGAAAAAAGACTGGTATCAATAATAGCCAGAACAAGAAACAAACGCTCTGTCATTGAGTCGATGCTGACTCAGCAACCCTTTAGGGCAGGGGAGGACTACCCTGTGTGCTTCTGAGGCGACCTCTTTTCAGTAGTAGAATGTCTCAGCTTTCTGCACTGGAGCGGCTAATGCATTTTTGAACTGCTGACCTTGCAGTTAGCAGTCCCACATATACACACTATGCCACCAGGGCTCAGAGCATCAGTAATAACAGACAATATTTTTTCTGGAAATTTAAAAATAATAATAATTTATCCTAGAAATGGTATGCCAATATAATGATCACTGTAAGCTATATATTCAATTTGAACACAGTGAAGGTTATTCACTCTCTTCCTTGAATTGTTAAATTATAATTTTCCACAGAGAATCCGAAAGACAGTATATATATTAAAAAAAGAAAAGACGAAATGGCCACTATGTGGATACTGAAGTGTATGAGAAGACCTGCAAGATGGACACTTTCTCTAGGATGATGCGCTGAATTGTTGTCGAGACCACTCTTACCCATGCCAACCCACGTGTGAAGAGAACTGAGCCACAAGATGGTCCAGGTTGTGTCCTTTCTGAAGCAGACATTTCTGAGTGGGTTTGACCTACTAGTGTTTTAGCTACTACTTGAGAATTCAAGTGTTAGTGCCATTGCATAGTAAGAATCTATTTCTGGGTGAGGGTGAGTGGAAGGATTACCATTACATGCTGGGAAGGAACAGTTCAAGTGCAAACACTCCCAACTTCCTGATAGATTTTTTTGGGCTCGTGATAGTCTCTTATCAGTAAAGTGCGGGAAGATATATAGAGAGTGGCAGAGATGATCACAAAACTAGTGGGAGGCAGGCATGATTCTTCTAAGTATCTAAGTACAATAGATCATTAGAATTTAAGAGTTTAATACTTCCTAAAATATAGACCAGGCACTTTGGGGAGATATACTTGCTGTCTTGGGTGAGTAATCTAATACTTTAAGCAACAACACTATGTTACAGTGAAGTATTGACTTCCTAAAATGACAGGTTGGTTGGTATCAGTGTTAGTAATTTCCACTTATCAAAGTGTTGAGCCAATATTTTTCTCAAAATAGGAAACCCTCACTCACCAATTTATGACCCACTGGTGACCAAGTGATCCACTGTGTGTTGTTGGGAATTTTCTCATTTGTAATCAGCACCCTGAAAAAGTATAAAAGGAAAGACACATTACCAAAAGAATAAATCATTATGGGACTTCCTTCCTTCCTTTCTTTTTTTTTTTATTACAGACTAATAAATTACATGGGAAGGCACTGACCTTTTAGTTAAATCATAAATGTCATATGAAGCTGTGTAGGAATGCCTCCATTGCTACAAAAGAAAACAGACATTTCAGGCTCCTGTGGTTACTGAGAGTGTTCGTAAGCAGCTTACCACTTGCTAGAAGAACTCAAAATGAGAGGTAAGATGACACTTCATTGCATAATTTTCAAATCTAATCACATCTCACATTGCCTTATCCTGAATCCTAAAAAGGTGGTGCTAGAGGTATCTTAGAGATGATATAGTACCGCCCTTTCTAATCTTAGTCTACAACCTAGTTCTGGCATCACCTCCTCCAAGATGCCTTTACAGAACCTCCAGTGAGTTGAAATGTCATTTTATCCAGATATTTTTCCAAGCATACACTGTGGCTTGTTAAATTCACCTGTGTAGGAAACGTGACTTTTCACTTTTACCCACGTTATTGGCAAAGTATTCCTATATCACCATTAACAACCTGTAATTCTATCAGTGGTGGTGATGTAGAAAATGGCTCTTTTAGTACATTGCTGATGAAAATGTAAATTGCTATAAAGTTTTAAAATTAAAATTCACATGCCATTAATATTCTAAATAATCATGGCAAGGCAAGAGAACAAAACTAAATCCAAAAGAAAGTAAAAGAAAATAATAGTGAGCAACAAAAAATAAACCAGGAAACAAAAATTCACAATTGGGTCTTTGAAAACGCTAGTAAAATGGGTGCTGTAATGATTGAGTGGGAAAGAAGCATAAGTAACTGATGTGGTAATGTTATACATTAATTTTTTTCAGAGAATATTATAAATTTTTGTCAATACATTTTTTAAAAGGTCAAATTTCCGGAAAAACCATGACTGAAAACCAGAACCTAGTAAATGGAGGGACCTGCCATGCCATTGATTGGAAACAAAGATGTAAAGGTGCCCCACCCCCCCTAATAGAGTCAATGCAATTTTAATCAAATACAAATTTTCAATTTATACAGAAGTGGAATGATCAGATAACAAGGTAATCTTCAAGAAACAGAAACCAGAAGATTCATACAATCATTTTCTGAACAACTATGAGGAAACTTAAAAAAGTTTGTGCAAGAATTCCATTATCTTTTAATTCCATCTATTTTGTGTGTGAACTTTTTGAAGCCCCCTTAGCCAAATGGACTAAGAAATGGGAGGAAGGGAAGATGCCCAAAACTCACACATTTATTTTTCTCGTCAATTAAATTTATGACAAATTACCACTTCCACAAAATAGAAAAAAATTAGTATCTTCATGAAATGGTGCTTAGTCAATTAAATATCCATATCTACTACCTCACACCATGCATTAAAAAATAACTCTCGACAAAAATAATCAAAAAGTTAAGTGTGAAAGGCAAAACAATAACACTTTGGGAAAATAATGCATGAGAAAGACCTCTATGACCTTGGGGCGGTAATTATCTCTAAAGCTAAGACACAAAGAATGAAAATATTAATTAGATTTCATGAAGTTTATGGACTGCTATTTATTAAATAGGTTAGTAAGAGGGCGAAAAAACAACACAGAAGACGAGAGAAGACATTATGAATACATATAACTAATGAAGACATATCCAAAATATGTAAGAATTCTTATAAACCAATAAGAAAAAGAAAATCCAATTCAAAAATAGGTTAACATTTGATCGGGTATTTTTCTTCAGTTGGCATTTATTCAATGGTTACTATAACAATTTCACTAAAAAAATTTTTCCAAAAGACCAATCAGCATATAGCAAAATGCTCTTCTTGATTAGTCATCAGAGAATGGCAAAATAAAACCAAAATGAGATACCATTACTTAGTCAATAGGATGGCAAAAGTGAAAGCCAACTAATTAGCAATACTAAGCATGGGCAAGTGGAGCAAATGAATGATCTTATACTATAGGTGAAAGCAACTTTACTTGTTGAAAGTGAAATTTTCATCAGATGAAGGATTGCAGTCATCAATGTGTGAAGGAAACCAAAATGCTCACAACTGGACCAATACCTAACGGCAGGATAAATGGAGAAAAGATCGAAATTGTCAAAGATTTTGTCTTGCTTGGAGTCACAATCCATGCTCATGGAAGCAGCAGTCAACAGATCAAATGATGCATTGCCTTGGGTAATCTGCTGCACAAGACCTCTTTAAAATGTTAAAAAGTAAGGATGTTGCTAATGGCCCCATATGCGCATGAAAGTTGGCTATTGAATAAGGAAGACTCTTGAAGAATCAATGTGTTTGATTGATGGTGCTGGCAAAGAATATTGAAAGTACGGGGACTGCCAGAAGAATGGAAAGATCTGTCTGTCATACAACCAGAATGCTCCTCAAGGGCAAGGATGGCGAGACTAGTCTTACGTACTTTGGACAGGTTTTCAGGAGAGACCAGTTCTTAGAGAAGGACATCTTGCTTCTTAAAGTAGAGAGACAACGAAAAAGAGAAAGACCCTCAAGAACTGAAATCTACACAATGGTTGCAACGATGGGCTCAAACATAAGAACCATTGTGAGGATGGCGCAAGAATGGGTGCTGGACCGCGCCAAACAACTACATTGCTGACAGTGTGACTTGGTATGAGGACTATCAAAAACTGATTTAGTTAATGTTAAGCATAGATGTATAGTTAAACATATAAAAGCACTGTTGTTATTGTGGCTGGGTGCCTTTGAATCACCCACAGGGTTTTCTTGACTATAATTTTTCTGGAGGAGCCCTGGTGGCAGAGTGGTTAGGTTGCTTGAGTGCTAACGAGAACATCAGTGGTTCAAACCCACCAGCCACTTAAGTAGAGAGAGATATGATGATCTGCTTCCATAGAGATTACAGTCTTGGACATCCAATGGGGGCAGTTCTACTCTGTCTCACAGGGTCTTCAGGGGTTGTAATAGCCTTAATAAAGAAACGTTTACAGAACTAGATTATCATGTCTTTCTCCTGAAGAGCCAAACTAGATTCAAACTGTGAACCTTTCCATTACTGCCAGATGCTCATTGCACTGCCAGGGTTCCAACACAACCACGGGGTCCACATTTCTACTACGACTTAGCCAGGAAAACAAACAGAAATGAAAAAATGTGTTTGTACATGTCCTACAAGATTGACTTAAGAATGCAGCATTTTTATAACCTTAAACTGGGAAAGTAGTCTATCAACAATGGTATGGCTATGCATTTTGGTATAATCATATAATGAATAACTGTACAATTTTGAAAAAAGAATGAACCTCGGCTACAAACTACAATATGGTTATGTCACAAACATCATGGAATGTTTTATTGTTATTAAAATATTGGACAAATTAATAAAATGCTACTAGGTATTGTTGAGTAAGAAAAAGCAATTCAAGAAAAAGTTTGGAAAGTGGTTCATATTTTATAGAACAATCAATTCCTAACAAGTATCCCTATATATGCTGTCATTCACACATACAGAAAAAGGTAAGCAGGGGAAGAACCATTGGCCAAGAAGGGTGAGTGCAAAAGAAAGGGAAAGTAACGGAGTGAGGGGGGCAGCCTAGGGTCCCACCTTTCCTACCTTTCTCAAGTCTTGAAAGCAGTTGTCAAATTTATGAAAGATAAAACATCTTGCAGTTACCCATCCATAACTACACTGAATGTAAATGGATTAAACCAATCAATCAAGAAACACTGAGTAGCAGACACTGAGTGGAGGACACCAAAGTTAGAATTTATGTTTTCTGTATAATAAGTGGACTGCTGCAGAATGTAAGTGTGGAAGTGATGGAGTCTAACCTAGGTTTTGACAAAGCCAATTTTGGAGGTAGTTTGAACCATGGCTGTCAGGCAGGAGGGGGGAGAAGGAATACAACAAAAGCAATTAAGAAAACAAACACCAGTGGCAAAATAAATACCAGTGGTTTCTATCCAGTGAATGTCTATGAGATGGACTACCGCAATTAGTACACATAAAATTGCACTTGCATAACCTGGTTAAATAGTAAATTGGCATGGCATCTACCTTTGTACCATGTAACTAGCAAAATTGTCAATAGGAGCAATAGTTATTCAAAGGTTTCTAACAGTTTCTAATTAGAACCAAGTACAATATTAAATTAAAAATACAGAGGCTAGCCTCACTCTTCTCCCCCAAATTCAATTTATTTATCTGATGATTGAACCTGGACCTGGAGCTTTTTTAAGCTTCTCAAGTGATTTTAGTCTTTAGACAACAAAAAGAATTAATGAATTAAACTGTTAGTGGGTACAGATGTGAAAGTTGACACTGAATCCTTTATAGTTGATTGGTTTGGTGAACATATTCAGAGCCTTCATATGCAGGAAATGAAACTCAGCAAAGTAAATCTATGGTAAATAGTATGATTAAGAGCATTATCCAGTGAGGAATGATTTGCTTGATTGTACTGCAGTAGTTTTGTGTGCAAGATATGACAGTTCAATATCATCTATTCTAGGCAACAAAAGGTGGGGGTGAGTATCCCCAGTTTTGTGTTTTGTTTTCAGGATAGAACATCTCTATAAGGATTTTAAATCTCTCCTACATTTCCCAAATCTTGAAAGCAGCTGTCTAATATATGAAGAACAAAAATCTGTAGTCAATAAAGTCACACCTATCCATAATTACACAGAATGTAAATGGATTAAATGAACTAATCAAGAAATATTGCGTAGCAGAATGGATAAGAAAACACATGCTGTCTACAAGAGACAGATACAAACACCAAAATGGACTAGAAATCAAAAGGTGGGAAAATACATCAAGCATTTATTATTATTATTATTCTCCTTTCCCCCTAATTGTCAGAGATGTTAGAGTAAGGTGTTGATTTAGGTCTTGTTTTGTTTGTTTGTTTTTTAATGTCTGAATTTATCCCTATTATTGGGGATACTCACCCCCCACTTTTGTCGCCTAGAATAAATGATATTGAACTGTCATATCTTGCACACAAAACTGCTGCAGTACAATCAAGCAAATCATTTCTCACTGGATAATGCTCTTAATCATACTATTTACCATAGATTTACTTTGCTGAGTTTCATTTCCTGCATATGAAGGCTCTGAATATGTTCACCAAACCA